GACAGTTCTTGCGGTGAGTAAGGAGAGGAAGGGAGACGAGGTCCGGAATGAGGTTGGAAGGGAGGGCGGGGCCGCAGCATTGTATTTATAATCCGACCATCAAACATGCTGTTTTCGGTGATAGGCGTTATTGGGAAAATATATGAAGGTGACGTTTTTTCCGGTTCTAGTGGTTGCAAGTGTGAGGTTAGAATTTGGGTTGAAAGCATCTGTACCCCACCTTTTTGCTTACATATCCGAAAGCCGAGCGTAATCTGTGGAAGCTTCCATCCGGATTCTACAAGGTGCTTTCCCGTGGACTCTTCGAGAATAGTTTTGATTGCGTGTGCCCAGCAAAAGTGTGAAAAATGACAGACGAGGCCGAGGCCGAGGAAGTCAGATCAGATCCCGCTATAAACGGATAGACCTCAATTCGAAAGATCAGAGCAAGGTTGGTATGATGTGAGCATGAGCGGGCATGAAATATCCCCTCCGCCACCCCATAGCCCTTCACGCCCAATCACTCGTCCACCACGTTCCCCAAATTCATGGTATCAGCCCCTCCCCCTCCTCCCCTTCCACATCTCTTACAAATCCAAATTGATCGCCTTCCCAAACTTTGCGTATAGCTCTACCTTCAACCCCTCCAAAACCCGTCGATTCCCATCAATCCTCTTCTCAATCTCTGCAATCTCCTCGTCAATCTTTTCCGTACTCTTTTCCAGCAGTTCCTGCACCTCCTCTAGTGGCAGGTGCAGAAACGAGTCGCCGATCTTATACGGAACCAGCTCGTCCTCGTCCGCAAGCTCGAGCTCGGAGGTCACGTCGGTGAGGTATTCTTTCTCTTGCTATGTCGATCGGTTAGCTAGGCAGTGGCAGCGGAGAAAAAAGAAGGGAAGAGAAGAGGGGGGTGAGGAACGTGTTTTGATTCGAGTTCGGTCTGTAGCGAGCTTTGCTTCTGATGCAATGCCGAGAAACGGTTGATTTTGTCTTGGTCCGCACGCGTCACTTGAACTTCCGTCGCCGCTTCGTCTTCACGAGAAAGCTGGGGAGACAAATGTTAGTGCGCGCATCGCTAGTAGGAATGTGTTAAGCTTGCCATGCGTTTCTCCATCTTTGATTGTAGATGATTAGCGGACGCAGCAGCGGTGATGATAATGGATGTGGGGTTGGTGGGGCAGATCAAGATGGATAAGATAGCGCCCACAAGCATTGAGATTGTTTCAGTTCTCACTCAACCACCACCTCCGTCATCCTGCAGCAGCCCGTAGCTTTCAACTTACACCACATTTACACAACCACAATGTCACCATTTCTCTACAATCTCCTCCTATTCTCACCACTGCTCCTAATCGCAGCCATATTCATCTACGTCCTTGACCGCCTCGACACACAACGACGCACGCCCCCACCAGAGCCACCAGAAGAACAAGAACAAGCAGAAGAGCAAACTCAAACCCCAGACGCAGAAGATGTACCCACCGCCGAGCCTCCTACAGACCTAATCGACTCTGAATCCGAGCCCGAATCCGACTCCGACACCTCAGCCGGCGCTCCTCCTCCCACCGATGCGATCCCCACACCCCAACTACGTACCCCCCAAACGCGGCACATCGGCCCAAAGAAGATGCGATCTCTCGCGCGCCGCGATCAGCGCCGAGCCTACCACGAATTCCTTCGCTCTCAGGCAGAAGCACGTTCCCAAGTGGAAGCAACACTGCTAGAAGAAGAAACTGAGCGTGCGTTCGAGAATGCTCGACGACGGTATCTTCTCGAAGAAGAGATTGCGTCTCGTCGCGAGGCGGAGCGTACAGCCCGGCTTGAGGAAGAGCGCGTAAAGAAGGCTGTTGAGGCGCAGGCTGTACAAGCTGTTGTTGGTGAGTTATGGGGGAAGACGGTAGTGCGGTTGGATGAACTGGCGGGGAATGTGGGGAGAGGAAGAGAGTGGGTTGAGAGTGTTGTTAAGCGCGAAGGGTTCTTGGGAGTTGGTGAGGGTGGAGAGGTCAGGATGGTTACGAGGGAGGGTGTGTGGGTTAGTTTGCACCCAGAGGCTGCCGCCAAATTTTGGCGGGTTGTGGAGGAAAAGGGGAAGTTGGAGTGGGGTGAGGTTGGAGAGATTTTGGAGGGGCTATTGATGGCGGATTGAACGGAAATTTAACCTACTACATAATCTGTTGGCTGTACTCTATCTTTACGGGCGTTTGGGTGGGTTTGGCTATCTATTATGGAGTTATGTGCAAGGAAAGGGGATCTTATTATGGAGTTTTGGGTACTAGATCATCATTTGGGAGCTTCCTTTTCATGGTGGTTGAATAAGCGGAAATTAGCATTTGTATCAAAACTTAATATTGATCATGATATTCTTCCAGTGAAAGCGATATAACATGAAGCACTGGAAAGCGATACAAATCTATCAATTTCTTCACTGTTACATTGCTACAGTGTGCACCACTCCTATATCCTGACGGTTGCCAACTTCTATTACTATTAGTCACAATGGTTCGGACATAGGTGGATGCTGACAGGTATTTTCCCATAGGACAGTTGTTGCTGACGGTTTTTGGATAACCGGACACTGTAGAAATCTTTATGGTAAGCAGAGACACAGAGGAGAAAATCGAGGAAATGGGGCTGCGACCGTTATTCAATATGTTCCGGGCATTGAAATAGTCCTCTCCGTCTTTTATATAGAAAAAAATACCATCATGATACCGGTGCTGACAGATATATAATTACCTCACCGGACACTTTCTTCCTGACACTGACAAGTACATATATTTGGCTGGACGGACACCCCCCCTTCTGACTGCTGATGTCAGAACCACTGTGACCAGTACAGTACTTGGGTCGATAATAAGTCTCGGGCAATGTATGCAGGAGGCGACAGAACGACCACAACACTGACACCAACAGGCTCAAGTACTTAAGTAGGTAATTTAATGGACGCCATTTCACCTGCTTTTCATTGTGGAATTCCTCCATTGTTGAATTACTTTTCGTTTAAATTTACTGACCATGAGATTCCGGGTGCCCGAGGACTTATTCTCACCACAAGTAAACCCATTGCTAATCCTGAAACTCCAAGGTTTGATATTTGTCGAATTTTCCATACTCCCCTAGATATACACGTAGAAAATACACGATTAAACATTACTATAGCCTATATATATACCCCCTAAGACAAAAAAGTAGAGTACACCTAATGCAACGTCTTATACACATAACGGGGCATGAAGTGAGAACGAACCCCCTAGAAGAGTAATCGGAACCCTGATTCTCTTCTTTTGTCTTCGTACACAACGCAAGCGTTACAAGCGACTGTGACAAAATGCCCGAACTAGATTAATCCATTGCTAAACCCTGATACCAGCAAAACAATCAACCCCGTAATTTACTCTACCTTCTTTACCGTGCTACCAGTATAAATTAGCTCCGTGCCAAAGACCTTATCCCAGAACTTGCTGGTCACGCCAAAGCCTTTCTGGAAGTCTGCAAAGTGATGTCGCAAGTGGTATTTCTTGAGCTCCCTGTAGTATGAAGGAAGGCTGCAGTTCCATTAGCATGTGGTTCCGCAAACCCGGGGTCTCAGCTCGTACTTTTTGTGATGTAAGAAGTAGTGCGTCAAGTCATAACATATATATCCAAAGATACCACCGCAATACACGGCAGTACCCATGTACCAATTCTGGTAGAAGATAGTGTGCGCCAACTTCCAGAAAGGGGTGGCAAGCATCACGAACAATGCTGGCGGCATAACGAGCCGAAGCCTATCCATCGGGAGGTAATGGTGAATGCCATGGAGGAGGAAGTGTCCCGTTATGAAGACCCTGTTATCCGGCATTTTCCTAATCCACATTAACTACCTCTTTCTTCTCGGCCTGAGATTGTCCTTACTCGTCAACGTGAAACAAACACCTGTGCAATAAATACTCCAACAGGGTCCAAATCATGACACCAAACACCCAGAACAGCCCTGTAATAGCAGGACTGGAAAATCCCTTGTTTGCCTCCCAAAGTCCATACCCAACACAAGGTAGCCATATAATCGGTATAAGATACCAAGGAGTGCAACTAAGCGGTTCTAGGAAGTTTCCGAACAGCGGAGCGCTCTCACCACCCTTGTAATGCCGAGGCTTGTGTACCTGCTCCAGGTAGAACTTCTTCGAGAAACCTCCACCCCAGACCTGCATAAAAAGCGGACGGTTGAGATCTAAAAACCGGTGCACCTTGTAGTCGTTGACGAGATCGGTAGGGACGCTGAGATCCTCTTCGCACTCCACTTCTTTTATGCTTAGGTTACTCGGCGACCCCGGAGGCGAAGGTGGAAGTAATCCTCCTACTGACGCAGGAATGTGGCCTTGAGGCAGGAAGCCAATGTGATAATCATTGAGGATCTCGTACGCGGCATCGCTATGCATATGGGAAACTTCGTCGGTGAGAATCGCAGTGACGTCTTTTCCTGCATACCTTCGTACCGTTAAAAGACCATATAAACACCGAAAAGGGGGATTTTGGTCACGAACTCAAGAATCAAGTCCCCACCACCAGGGTGATCTGATATGAAGGGCGTCACGTCATAAACCTTACTCCCAATGGTGACATAGCATGACTTTGAAGAGGCGTTCTGCTCGAGCTCGGCCAGGGAGATAGTTGAAAGACCCATCGGATCGGTGGTGACAGCGTACGAAGCAAGACAGGGAGGGCGGGGTATTAGGATATATGGCCGGGTATGCGGAAGCAGGAAACGTAACAAGCAGGAGGCGGTGCCTTATGAAGAATTACTTCAGAGGTGATGGGTGGGCTGTGGTGGTGTGTTGTGGACGGATTACAGATTTTAGTCGGGAGAACAGCCATCCATTTCCGCGTTGCGTGATACGAGACCAGGGTTGATTTGTATTACTCTACGCTTCTGCGTTCCCAGCGTGTTTGGCGCCAGTGTCTAAATGCAAGGCACTTGGTGTCGTTGAAACATCCAGGCGCCTACCCTTACATAGAGTGTAAAACGTTTGTGCAGACATCCAATCCCTATGGCGCAGTGGTTAGCGCGCCGTTCTTATATGAGAACTCCACTTCTGTGGAATCTTGTATGAAATACGAGATGCGGATGTCGAGGGTTCGATCCCCTCTAGGGATACTTTTTTTGGGCTCACTTGTTTGTCTAGTTATCCTGTGAGTCTTTTTTTGTCATTGATCATTCAACGAGGTGTTGTGATGGCCCTGATAACTCCTCTCTACAATGACATCTCATAACACCTAAAGCCTCGATCCCTATTGTTTGACAGTAACTACATATATATCTGATCCGTCGCATGATCGTGATACTCAGAAGCCCTCCCACTCGCTCACTGCCAATGTCAGGAACACATCTGATCACTCGTCAAAAGGAAAACAAACGGCTGGTACTGTGGATGAAGGGCATCATGCCACCTTCGAATGATTCTGTGAGTGAAACCATCACGCTACCCTAGAACATAAAGCTCACGAGACATCTGATAGAAATTACTTAGAATCGAACGTCAATACTTAGGCAGTCAAAAAGATTTAGCACCTACCTGTAGGAAATTGTATATAAAACTGTACCAAGCACAAGTCGTATCAATACTTTTTGACCGCCCAAGTAAATCCAACACTAACAACACTATCACCTAGTATCTTCGTTGTCCGGCTCTCTCCAAAGCAACAAGGCGGAGGTGAAAACAAGAGCTTTATGCCGCACACCTGCATTGTTGTTTCCAAGGGCAAAATCTTAGGGTGTACGGACCAAACACGTGGAATATTGAGACCCCCCCTTCAATGGCGCTACTGCCCTTCCTAACGACTTTGATCCTGATCGGTTCCTACCGATGCCGCCGCCACCTGGGCACCCGAGCATAAGAAGCTGGCGAGAGTGGGTCTGTAGCTAGGCATTGTCCACGTCGAAATGGGCTAGGGTGGTACGGTGAGTGGCAAGTTGTCTCCAATTCCGATCATTTCACGGTGCTGACTCGTTGCTACGATACTCCAGCACCGTCGTTTCGATCCGTCAATGGTTGTCTCCAAGGCGGAGTTGGACTGTTATACACTACAACGTCCCGAGGCCATCACCAAGATGGTCCCAGGATATTTCGTTTTGTTGAGATAATGATCTCGTCAGTCCCGAGATGGAGTCCGGGACATCTTGTCTCGTGCTGAATATGAACCAGAAATGCACCTCAGCACTCGGGTACAAGACCTTCGAGATTACAAAACCCGGGATACCGGAGATATCATCAAGCAATGGATGTCAGAATTTCCATTGCAAATTGTACTTTTCATACTCCACTTTCTGTTATTTAGCAGAGGAAAACACGAGAACAGAAAAAACCCAATTATCGATTACAGATATGGCGATCGTATAATGAGAGAAGACCACCACCACCCATCGTCTTGAGCTGAGCACATCCCAAAGAGACATCTGGTCCTCAAACCAAGTAATCGTGACCAGCAACAGTTGTTCCAATTCCAATATATCCTAGAGGGTAGAGACAGCTGCGGATATTTACTTGGTAGGAAAATAGAAGAGTACGGGGGGTAGAGTTCTAGATTCCAATGCAGAGTTCTGAAAGACGGTAGGGGGGCGCCTAGTCTTTATAGTGAAGCACGATTCACGCAAAACGGACATATGATCTGGATGGTTGAGAACCTGTGACTCCAATTCACCACCTCTACTTGGCCTCCGATGTATCATGATCAAAATAACTTGCTTCACATCCACTACCACTTCCGTCCATGATATCCGAAATGCATATTTTGCAATATATTTCACGATGCCTCCCCAAAAAACCTGCCGTCGATGATGTTGAAGCGCTCGTACTTCCAGAAGTGGAAGAAATTTCCCACGCTAGCCATGCATGCATATGCCTATCTGCCGAGCGAACGAACGAACGTTTGAACAAAGCTTATCGATAGAGCGGGCGGGCAGACACATGGGATCCGGATTCGGGGGAACTAATTGTATTTACCCACTGCTGGGATTGGGAGCAACAACACATACCGTGTACTTCTAAAGTACAAGTACCCTTCTACTGCATTAACACCGGAAGATGCTTCAAGGTAGCTCTACATTACTATTCCATCCAGCATTTCCTACGTTTTGGGTTGGGACCCGTAAGATATCTGGATCTTATTTAGGGTTGCCTACTTGACAAACCCAAGGGCGTAGGCGGGCAACGTCATTAGAAATACCGCCCCGCCGGCTTAAATATGAACAATTCCTTGTATAGGAGAGAGAAGATGGGATCGATAGGATTCGGGGTCAAGACCGATCTTATGATCGTCGTCGTCGGAGACCGCAAACCGCTACAACATAAGTACGCATGATTTAGCCACACCCAGGACCTCCATCATCTACATGCAGATGTGAAATTAGCATGGTTATATACTGTAGGAATCTGTTCAAAACCCTGCAATCCCGAAAGAGAAATCATTTCCTCCTTCCGCACTTCGAACCTACGCACTCCATCTTCCTGGAGACGGATGGTTTTTTGACGAGTATGGACCCACGTTTAGTTAGTGTGGAGCAAGCCCAAACGTACGTGCATGCATATCTACACCTCTCATGTAATCAGCAATCCAGACAATGTCTACCTCATGTAAATCCGGATGGCTCTGTTTTCTTGTTTCTATTCTCGAATCCTTTCTTGTCGGCACGCTATCGGGTTGATATCAAACGACCTGTTGGACCATTGCAAGATGTTTCCATGTGGCGCACCCGATTGTTCATAGCGCCACTCTTCCATAACATCGCAACAACGGGTTAAAAAAAGGTATGGGGGGTTAATGAAGGAAAAAGATGACCAACAATCTCGCCGCCGCCGCCGCCGTTATCCCTCCTCGTGGCGATGTAAACATGCAGAAAGATGCTGCTGCATGAAAGTCCCCATACGCCATATAGCAGTGGCAACAACTCACAAGTGGTGTGGAGGGCTAAAATAGTATTTTTGCTGAGGAGAGATTGGGATGCAGCGGTAGGTGCGGACGACAGAACACGTATAAAGTATTGTTCATTGTCAACAATATATAAACCCATAGTCAGGGCGTTGAGAACTGGCCACAAACAGAGGTTTGAATATTGAACACAAGGAAGTAATGGCCACAGCAGCAATCCAAACTCCTGTCCCCATCCGTGGTATCCGCACCGCCCCCATGGGAAAACCTACATTCCAGCTTCCTCCTTCGCGTCCACTAACGCCGGCAACCTATTTCAAATCCCCGTTCAACCCGGCCCAGCATCTTGCATACCATACAATGCCTTCACGGCACACTATGTCCGAACTTGGACACGAAAGGACCGGGATATCCCACATTGGAGTCTCGGAGCCATTCGAGCTCTTCGCTCCTGAGGCGGTTCGTATGATGCGCAATGAAGTGCTCTCCGATGAGGTTTGGGACAATTGCCGGTTCTCGAGTTCCATAGCTGCATGTCAATTGCGCGGTATGGCACCAAAGTAAATATTCCCCCAACATACTTGGTACCCTGTAGGTAGGCACAGGAGTTGACCAAGCTCAATCCATTAGATACGCAAAATTCGTGTACGATGCGTGGACGAATCACGATACTTTGCGTATCATCAGCAGCATTGCTGGTGTTGATCTGGTTCCCGTCATGGACTATGAGATCGGCCACATTAACATCTCTGTCAATGACAACCCCGACGGATCAATTCAAGCCGCGCCAGTAGTCAACTGGCATAAAGACTCGTATCCCTTCGTATGCGTGCTCATGCTCTCGGATGCCACCGAGATGAAGGGCGGCGAAACAGCTCTCCGCACTGGTCAAGGCGAAATCAAGAAAGTTCGAGGTCCACAGATGGTCATATCACCCTCCTCATTAATGTTTCATGCACTGACGTGGGGCTTTAGGGTTCTGCCGTTGTGCTTCAAGGGAGATATATTGAACATATTGCGCTTCCTTCCACAAATTGCCGTGAACGTATCACGATGGTAACATCATTCCGGCCAAAGGATCCCATGCTCGCCGAGGATTCTCAGCTGCTAACTGTCCGCCCGGTCTCGGATCTCAATGAGATGTACAACCAGTGGACCGACTATCGGGTCGAAATTGTTGAGGAGCGATGTCGCCGTCTAGTGAAAGGATTACGGGAAAGGGAACGCGTTGGGAGAGACTTTGACGTGGTCGGTGTCAAAGACCAACTTAAGGATCTGATCAAATTCCTAGAGAAAACAAATAACGAGATTGTCGACCCAGCGGAATACAAAGTCGACGATAGTGAAGAAGAGAGGGAGGAGAAGGCTAGCAAGAGAACGAAGAAGAGGGCTAGGATGGGTTGAAATAGGACGGCAGGTTGTACGTGTTGTGGATTGGAAGTTTCTATTGTCACATTCCCCAACGTTTCTCCATGGGTTGGGTTGTTTATTCTGTTGTTACTATTAGCCTATTGTTTCTTTGTCTCAATAATGATGTCCTCAATTAATTGATAGCACTTTGTGCTGTCTATTCTCAGTCACTAGAATACATCCAGTGCATGTTGTGTACTGGGCGATTATACCTTGGGAAAGAAAGGATAGATCACATAAGCTTCATAGAAAGTTTTTTCTCACCAAAGCTCTCATGAATCATGCTGAAACATTCACAAAAATTACTGAGGCCTTCCTAAAGCACTCCAAAGCCGCCTGGAGGCCATTTTGAAGTGAATGCCTTTTACGAGGCTGTTGTGATTTGCTCCTAAAGTATGAACGCCTTCAATATCCGACCAATTCGTCCAAACGACAGCATAAGTATCGTAACCGTACCGACGCTTGTGCTTGTCTGAGCCGATTATCTAAGCTGGTAGTTCGTATCCGGTATGATAGAGCACAGGTTATCTTAGTTTGCATTCTTAGCGTGTTAACATATATGAAAACCATCAGAATTCGAGATCTGGGATTTGGGGAAACTTGTAATCGCCTCCGAGGCAGAAATAGGTGGTAGTTAGCGACGGCACCGTACACATTCCTTGGACCGGATTCCGATAGTCTTGAGCGTCGGGGGGCACAGCTGCTGCTTGTCTGGTTTGTTTCTTGATGGTTTGGCTGTTCTGTCGTTGAGGTGATGTATCAAGAGGCGTTATCAGATCATCTTAGATCTCCCGTTGTTAGCAAATTGCCTTATGGTGA